TTCCTGGTTGAAGCATAGTGCTCCCAGTGCCACCGTTGTAACAGATCCAATCCGATCCGGTATCGGCCAATTTATTGGATCGGATCGCTTGGACGATCCTGGGGATCGAAAATGGGTGTATTGGATTGCCCACCTGATCCAATACCCAGGGTATTGTATCACAGCAAACAGTATTGGGGCAAGAGGGATTGGTATCACATAGCAATACTGATCTGATACCAATCCGGTATCTGAGGGATTGGTTCAAAAACTTTTTTTTGGACAATTTTTTTTTGCATAGATTTTTTTGTCTTTTGATATGATAATGTAAAATAGTATAAAAATTTAATAAGTGAAAATTGGACTATATTTTTCTAAACATGGAGTCTGAGAGGAGTGATTTTTTTTTTCATTGTTTGTAATATATTCATAATTTTCTTACTTAATCAGCTATATTTTTCTTCATGAGTCAAATGAATTTTGGGAGACTGAGTGGGGGTTGGTAGAGGCTGTCAATATAGGGCAAAAAAATATAGATAAGAGAGGAGAAAAAAAGGAAAGAGAAGAGAAGACAAAAAATAATATAGAGAAGAGAAGAAATCAAACTTTGATGCTTGAGGTTGAAGCCACAGGGTTTTTTTTGGCCTTGGCTGCTTGCAATTCTGCTTGAGTAGCCGAGATTATGTCCTGGGCCGCCTGGAATGGGCCATCGGGGTTTATCCCTTGAGTGATCCACTGGTGTGAACTTACACATCTTTCAATTGTTTTGGCAGCTAGGTTGCCTCGATCTTGCCCTCAAACGTCCGCTGCGGCCAAAAAACATCGCTCCACACTTGCAGACGTAGCGCTGGTAGCCAGGTAGTCTTGTGCCAGTAGCGCCAACTATGGAAATTCAGTTGAATATTGCTGTATCATAGGAGAAAAATTTATTGGATGACATACTCAGATCATCAAATATCAAAAGAGTTATCTCACCTTCCACCAAGTTAAGCAGTCAGCAGCCTGTGAAGAGGGCAGCCAATACTTACCGCCAAGATGCGCTGCCAGTTTGTCGTAGGTCTCTGGTGCGGCATCCGAAAAGAAGTCTACATCTTCCTCCTGTCTTCCACCCGGGGCTAGGGCTGTGTTCTTCTCAGGTGGGGGGGGGTGTCTTCATCTCTTGCTTCCTGGTTGTTGACTTCCTGTTTGTGTTGTTGGAATATGCCTTCAAGAAGCAATTGCGCACGGGGGAAGGCCGAGGGGTACCACTTCTGGATCATTGAGAGGCGGTAGCTGGGGTTGAGTGCTGTTGCGAGGAGGATGGAATTGCAAGCAAGAGCCTCATTGACGTAGGTATCAATTTTTTTGAGCATTGTGTTGATCATGTTCTTGAATTCACCCTCCACAACAGTGCTGGGCTTGCCCTCTAGGTATTGCCGCAGGAGTCAGTATTTTGCAAGGAACATCGATGCCGATGGGATGTCACCCTCCATCTTCTTAGTGACATAATAGAATTCCTGAGATATAGAAATAAAAACATGTGAGAAAAATAAAAATGGTGCGAGTGAAGAAGATACAGCTTACACTGATAATGTCATTCAATTTATTGACAATCTCCCAGTCACTTTGTGTCATTTCATATTTGTTGAAGTGGTTCTTGCCTCCCTCGTGTTCTTGTCGGTCTCGCTCGTTCTCAATTAGTTTGTTGATTACGTTCCTTGCAATATACCCACACTTGCGGCTCTCAAACTTGATATTCCAGCGGATACCGTAGCCAGCAATCAGAGTGGGCCCCGAGTAGTCAAGTTTTTTGGCCCATGTGTTGAATTCAGCTCGCTTGGCTGATGAGGATGTGATTTGTTGGATCACATAATCAACCTAATCCAACAGAATAGAAGTGGATCAGGGGGAATATAAAAAGATAAACTTAGGCCATAACTTACCTTCTTCAGAACCTTCTTAATAACATTGGCTTCCATGATTTCTGGTCCTTCGTTTTCACTGTTGTCAGAGTCTGAATCATCAACAAATCCATCCTGATCAAAGGGGTTGGCCATTGGGTCAACTTGGCCTGACTCGGACGATTCCTTGGTTATGGCACACAGACCAGGGAAAAATACCAACACAGTGCTGGTGGGGATCTGATCACTTTGGGGGACCAATATTGCTTTGAGGTCGGCATTGAGGATCAGGGCAAGCTTGTGACAAAAGCACCGAATGTGGTTCTTGGCAATCGAGATGTCCTTATTGTGATTTACATCCTTCTTGAGCAATCGGTCCACTTCGACAGCCATTGTAAGATTATTTGATCCTGAGTCAGTAGTTTGGGCTATGATGTAAAAGCATAAAAAAAAGGTATTTCTAATTAGCTGCTATGTCATTGAAAGGTTGATACATAATAATAGAAAGACTCATCTTATTGTTCAACAGTGACTTGATGAAGATGTTGGCCAATGGAATGGCCAGATCTTTGCCTTTATGCGTCCAAGCAATGTACTTAACCAACAGATGACTGACATCAAACGTCCAATTTTTATCAATACAAGCCACGGTGATCCCTAGGAATGTGTTTTGGTTGGGCGTTGATAAACGCACGCCAGCCCCCCTGGCAAACGCCATTGTGCGGATTGGCGTGCACACCTGCACGCCAAAGAAAATTGGCATGTGGGCCTACACGCTGTGGAACTACTCTTAGGAGGAATAGAGCTTGAGAGGGATGAGTGCTTTATTGGGCTGCCTCTCTGATAACAAGAAAATATAAGAGTATGGACTCTTAAGGAAAGGTGTGGCTTTGGAGATTTCTTGAGGATGGTATGTCTAATATGTCTTATGTTTACTAGTCTAAATATACTTGTTCACAAATCAAGGTATCCCAAATGTTGATGGGCAAATACCTGGCTAATAATGGGTGATCAGTTATCTGAATTGCTGGGGCAGGATCTGATGAGGAACAAATGAAGAGGAAAAACAAAGCTCCTTATATACAAAATTCTGGGGAGTGGCCAGCTTGTGGTTGGAAGATAAGTGGAACATTCTATGAAGAGTATGAAACAAGGGAAAATATTTATCCAGAGAAACAGGGGAAACAAGCAGTGGGAAAATGCTCCCAAGGTTACTAGTGTGAAACAAATAAGGGGCAGAATATTCCATGGAAGAAAATAGGAGGAGATAACAGTTTCATGGACAAGGGGATTGTTACTAGTGTGAGACACAAGGAGAAAGAAGAATGGAATATGTTTGGAGGGGAGTGAGTTTCAGGGGTGTGGAGTTTCTGGCTGGGAAATATTATTATCCATGTGGTCTGTGCTTGAGGGGATTCATGAGTGGTGTCTTGATTTGTTTGAGGGTCTGGGGAAGTTTCTGGGGTGCCTTGATCCTGTGATTCCTCTGTGATTTGTGCTCTTGATAACTTTGAATTTTCAGGAGTGGCTTACCACATCCACCCCCAAATTAGATGATGTCCCCATCATCCAAACAAGAAAAAAAGAGAAAAAGACAGTCCTGATAAATTCTAAGAAAATATATTCTGAAGGAAAAGAAACTGGTCATAAATGTGGAAGCCCATAATTTGAAATAGTGCCAAAAGGAAAAAAGAAACAACAAAAAAATCTATGGTTTTTATATGTAGAGGAGTTGTTTTTGTACTTTTATCTTATGTAATGATTTTTATTTTTATTTATTTTATTTTGGTTCATCAATTATTTATGAAAGACTCAGATATCTTGTTTAATCATGTAGCCCAGGGAATAAAAAAATAGAAGGCTGGTGTGAAGAAAAAAATTGGAACAAAACTAAGGATGAGAATGAATAACTGGGGCTTAACCACCCCCAAATTAGAGGTGAAAAGGGGTGTAGGAATTTCTTTGCACAGAGGGGGGGTAATCCTGGGTAGTAGCAGCAGGGGTATTTTCAGGTCATTCTCAGTAGCAAGGATAGGCCTCCTCGAGCGGCGATGGTACTTTTTTGTACGTGTAACCTATTTCCATCGGCGATAGCGCCGTCCATACCGTCTACGCCTGCCGCTGCCTCCGCATCGGTTGAGAAAACTATTATCGCGGTTGTCGGTGCGGATAAAGGTATGAAGCAGAACTGAATCCTGCCGAACTCGCAAAATGCCGCCCGGATATCTGCTTCGGAGGTTCCGAGAATGAGGTTGGCTACGCCAACGATTCTTGATGGTTGATTGGCGGTGTGTTGAGAGCAAAAGGTAGCAGTGTCGTCGTAAACAATTTCAGGGGAGCTCATGATGGCGATGCGTTGAGACTACCGTCCATCATCCTTCCTGGTCCTATTTTATCACGTCGGTGGGTGGTAGCTCTCTTGATGCTGTCTCGGTTTCAGGCGACGCCATGTATGGCGGGGCTTTTCGGCTCCTGGTCGTCTACTACTGACGTTTGTCTCACTTGGAGGTTACCGCTTCTTTTCAGTGCCTCTTTCCTCGTAGTCCGTTGATACCAGATCGTATCTCGGCTACGGGTATGTAGCTTCTGTCTCAGCCCCAGCGCCGCCGGCTGGCTTGCTAGTAACGTACCCGCCTCCTTATGAAGTGCTTCGCCGACCCATAGTATTCTGAGTGTTGGGTCCACGTTTATAAAAAGGCAGCCTTCTGCTTGAGTTTTGGTTCCGATAGTAGCTATCGTCCTTCTATGTCTTCGTACTTCGAGATCCCAGACCGTTTCGACGGACAACCCTTATCTCCTTACTCCCTGGCTTCCGACAAGTCTACCATGCCCGACGAAGAAACTACTGTCCCTCTTGAGGCCAACCCTGCGATCAAGGTCGAGACCCCCGAAGAAACTGCGCCTGAGTCCCCTGTCGACATACGCAGAAGGGTAGAGGACCACGTCTTCCTCCTCCGTCGTTTTCCAATATACGACTGTTTGCCATAGCCGCGGCTTTCCAAGAGAATGCCGATGGCCAATTTCCTTTTCACTACCAGGAACAACACGCCCGCTCACCATCGCCTGTTAGATCTTCAAACTATTCCGGAAGCGGGTCGGCTTCTTCTCCCATTCGGCTCGACACTCCTCCCCCAGCTGAACCCTGCTATGTCTATCCGCCCCACCCCGATCCCGATCACGAGTTGACGCCTGAGGAGTGCGGTCCTATTTGGGCCGAGGTTGTACAAGAAGACGCCGTCCTAAACGCGCGTCGACACATCAAAGATCTCTTCCGATCTTACTTCAATCTCCTGGACGGCGACGTCCTCAATCACCCGCGTCGAAGTGGCGGTTACAGGCGTATGGTGTGATGTCGATTGTATGAGAGCGTTATGGAGGAGCTGGACCGTGTGCTTGAGACTGTAGATCAAGTACAGATGACTGTTATAGAATAAGTAAGTAAAAAAAAAAAGTCCTTCTGGGTATATATGTATATAAAAAGTTTGAAAAACTTGATTCTGATCTTTTTTTTTTTTTTAGTTTTTAGGGATTTTTCTAGGATTTTTTTTGTTTCTTTTGTTTGTTTTTGATGAAATAATGCTTTTAGAAATACAGAAACAAAAGGAAAAACTTATTCCCTGGAAAAAAAAGGTTTGACCTGAGAAGCAGCATATCTTCTTTTGAGTTCAGTGCCATCCAATTCTTCTAGTGCATAGGAGCCTCCTTTTTCCTGCTTGGTAATTTTATAAGGGCCATTCCACCTGTTTTCAAACAGTTTGCCCCATTGGGAGTCCAGACTCTTATTATAAACTAACACCAACTGGCCAGGATTGAGAGGGTTTCTGAGGGATTTTTTCTGGTTCATTGGCTCCAAGGATTGGGATCTGGCCTCCTTCATCTTCTTGTAAGCATCTTGTAGGACTTCCTCTCTTCTTTCCAACTGGAGGACTCTGGCTGACAATAATTCTGTTGTTGATTTAATTTTGGTCCAATCTGTTCCCAGGTAAGTTTCCAGCTCTAAGTCCACAGGTAAGATGGCAGGTTGTCCAAAAATTAATTCATAAGGGGAATATCCAGTGGTTCTTTTGGTGGAAATTCTGTCTGCAAAGAGTACTAGTGGTAAGTAATTCCTCCATTTTTTTCCATCTGTTTCACAGAGTTTGACCAAAATATCCTTCAGGGGCTGATGTCCTCTTTCCACCATTCCATTTGCTTCTGGGTAGTAGGGTGTAGTGAGCTTGACCTTGGCACCTGCTTCAGTGAGGGATTTTTGGAGTTCTTGGCCAAATTCTGGACCACCATCAACAACAACTGTTAAGGGGACTCCATATCTGTGGATCCAATTTTCCATAAACCATTCTGAGATTTTCTTGGCTTTGATTTGCTCCAGGCCTACAGCTTCCACCCATCCTGAGAGATCATCCCTGGCCACAACAAGGTATTTCCACCTTCCTGCTTTGATGTGAATGGTGTCCAAGCTTACTCTTCCAAAGATTATAGGGATTCCAGTAGCCTTCTTGAGTTCCAAGGGTTTTGCTGAGCTTCTTTTCTGACAGGCCACGCAGGATTGAACCCATTTCTTGACAGCCCTCTTCATATTTGGCCACCAAAATCTGAGTTTTGCTCTTCTGTAGGTTTCATCCATGCCTCTGTGGCCCAATTCCTCATGGAGGGCCTTGAGAACTGTTTTCTGGAGGTATTGAGAGGTTACCACAACCTGGGGAAAAGGTTTGTTTCTTCTTTTTAAGTGCCCTTCTGACATAAAAAACATTGCTGACTTATGTTTAATAATACTCCAATCTTTGTCTGAACATTCAGGGGGTCTGTTGAGGGTTTCCAAGTAATATTGAAGGTGTTTCCAGACTCCAATTTGGTTGCTGTGAGTGGGTTCCACCCCCAAATTTGCCATGTTGATCTCTTTTAGTCCAAAGCCAGGGTGAGGTTTGATCCATTTTTCTTCTTCATCAAAATCTGTTCCAATTTCTCCAGGGTCAGGGGTTCTTCTGGATAATCCATCTGGCATGGTGAAAGTTTTTCCAGGGACATGCTTCATGGTAAAAGAAAATAGTTGGATAAAGGCTACCCATCTGGTCATGGGAGCATTTGGAAGGCTGGGTGAGTTGATCATTTCTATTAGGCTTTTGGCATCTACTAATAATTCAAAATGTTGGCCCCATAATTGAGTTTGTAGTTTCTTGAGGACCTTGGTGACTCCACAAAGTTCCAATTTGGACTGGGAATATTTGGATTCTGTTGGGGAAAATACCACTGATTCATAAAGGACAGGTCTGTCCAGGCCTTCATCTTCTTGTGTGAGTACTGCTCCAGCTGCTATATGACTTGAATCCACAGCTAATTTTATTGCTCCTGCTTCTTCAGAATAGTCCAATTTTTTTAGGGTAATATCATAGCCCACCAGTTTCTTCAGTTTTTCAAATGCATCCTGGCAAGCCTGGTTCCATTTCCATTCTGAGTCCTTCCAAGTGAGCCTTCTGAGGGGTGAAGCAAGTTCTGAGAGTCCAGGGATAAACATTCTGACATAAACACAGACTCCAAGAAATCCTCTGACATCTGTGGGGTTGTCAGGGAGTGGCCAGCTTTCCACCTTGTTGAGTTGTTTCTGGGCAATTTTTCTTCCTTCTTTGCATACCACATGTCCTACAAGGTCCAAGGCAGGTACACAACAGGCAAATTTCTTTCCAGAGATGGTGAGTCCAGCTTCTTCTATTCTGAATAAGATCCTTTCCAGAGTAATGGCATATTCCCAAATAAATCTTCTGATTCCTGAATTTTCTTCCAATGTTTCTTGATTATAGTCTGACACAGGGCCTTTAATCCCTCCATCATCAATAAAAATGCCCACATTGTTTGGTATTTCATCCTGGAGTATCCACATCATTTGGGCTTGGTAGACTGCCACAGAATTGGTGGCTCCTTGGGGTAATCTGGTGAGTTGAAATCTGCCAAGGGGGGTTTCAAAGGTAGTGAGGGGTCTAGATTCCAGGGCTAATTCTCTTTCATCATATCCTCCCATTATATCACCCAGACCATAGCAGGCCCTTCCAGTGAAAGATTCAATGAGTTCTTCAGGATTTGGTGGAAGTCCAGAGTCTTTGATGGTGACTTTGTTGAGCCTTTGTAAGTCATGGACCACTCTTAACTTTCCATCCTGTCTTTTGAAACAAAATACTGGGCTGGAATAACTTGAGCAGGATTGTTCATAGAGCCCAGTCTTGAGCCTTTCCCTTACTAACTCTATGAATTGGTTCTTGATGGCTGCAGGTATTGGGATGGGTCTTTGCTGCCAAGGGTCATGCTTGATAACTGGGATAATGTAGGGTTTTCCATAGGTATGCTTCAGGAGTCCTCTTTCTTCTTCACAAAAGGCCAGTCCTCCTTGTCTGAGCTTGATGACATGCTTGAGGAGTTTCAGTTCTTCTGGCCAAAGCCATCCAGGGGGTCCAAAATTGACAACCTGCAATCTTTCTTCAGTTATTTTCCAGGTGGGGGTAAATTCAGGTGGGAAGGGGGTTAAGGGGGTTTTGTAAGGGTCTCTTGATAAAGGGGGATTGCATAAATGTGAGTTGAGATTCTGAGGCATAGGTTCATTTACTGGTTTTATTTTTTTTGTAGTTGATTTATATTTTGCAGCATACACTAATTTATCCTCCTCTTTTTTATTAGGCACCTCCCAAGTCTTCACTTGTGGGAGGTGCCAGACACTAAAAAATGACTTGAAGTAGTGGCTGTGTGAACTGGAAAATCTTTCTCCCATTTCTGATTGGTTGGATTGTGTATGGGTACCAAGTAAGTTTTGCCTGACTTCTGAATTGCCAAGGATTCTGCTCCATGTTGGTGAAATTTGGTGGTTGCTAACACATCTATGAGCCATGGTTTGCCCAAAATAGGTTGAACTTCTCCTACAGAAACATAAAAATGTATTCCTCTGGTGATGTGACCCACTTTTACAGGTACATTTTCAGCTACTCCTAGAATTTCATTCTTGTGGCCACCAATTCCTTTAAGATTCATGGCTCTTTGGGTGATTATGAGGCCCATTCTTGCTGCAAGGTCCCTGGGGAGTAAGTTGACTTGTGATCCATTATCCAAGAGGGCTTGAAATGACTTCCCATTGATACTGACATCAATATATCCTAGGGGGCAGGCATAATGGCTGGGTTCTTCCTGGGATTCTTCATCTTCTTCTCCATCCTGGTCAATTCCTCCAGAGTTGGTAGATTTGGTGGAGTCCACTGGAATCCTTTTTGGGGTAATCTTTTTCTTGAAAGCTTCAACAGTTCCATTAGAAATTGCAAAAATTTCTCCATAGGAAAGTTCCATTTTACCATCCATTAACATCCTGCTGACCACTTTGTCTTCTGCATCTGGAAATTGGCTGGTTAGAGGTCTCTCCACATAGGTTTTCTTAGGGCTTTTTCCTTGGTAGCTGGTATGCTGGTGCTTTCAGGTTCCTGGATTTGGACCTTCTTTGGTGGGGGATTTTCCTTGGTGGAAGAAGGTGGAAGGATTACTGGGTTGTAGTCATCCTGTCTGGCAATTTCTTGGAGTCTGTCCCTGTCTACATCCATTAGGCCCTCTTTTTCTTTTCTGACCCTTTTGCTGACTGAGGTTTCCTCTGGATATTCCTTTCCACGTCTGGTCCTCTTTACAGCTTCACATTCATAGGTGGATTCCTCTTCTTGGTCAATTTCTTCCAATTTTCCAAAAGAGGTCTGGGGGTCCATGGAAATTTCTGCAGATTTATTTAGGGCTCCTTGAGGTAAGTTGAGAATCCCAGGCTGTTTCTGAGATAGGTGAAAATGGTCCACAGCTGATTTTAATGCCTTGTTTTTCTGCCAGGGTACTTGGGATCCATCTGGTAAAATTACATTGGGTCCATCCTTCTTGAAGAGTCCTTTTAATTCATCCTCATTGGCCATGTTGCATCTATGGAAGGTGTGGCCTATTCCATGGCAGTAATTGCACTTGACAGTGCTCCAGTCTTTCTCCAATTGGGCAGGTTTTTAGGGCACATGGCTTTTGGAAATTAAGGGGTTGGATTTCTGGGTGTGCCAACTGGCCAAGGTTTTGGTGAGGTCTTCCACAGCTTTCT